TTTTATTGTAATTTAATTTAAGTTTAATAATCAAATAATTTATTTTTGGTTTAATAATATAATATTTTATAAAGATAATAGTTAAATATTTTGTTAAAACTCAATGATTATCCTGTATTTTAGATATTTTATATTTAAAATAAGATGTTTATCTTATATATAATTATGTTTATCTGCAGTTAGTTACACGAATTAAGATATAGAGCTTTAATAAGTTGTACTTATGCACAATCTACTTGTAATCTTGAGTTTTAAGTAACATGCATTAATAAGCAGTACTTTATGCATAAAAAGTGGGTTTTAAGAGTTTTTGTCAAATGCTTTATAATATAGTATAGATATAATATTTTTTTTTAGAGATTGTGATTTTTGACTCTCAATTTTACGAAAATTTTAAAGAATCCATTGGAGATGCTCTTAAATTCTTTCTCTTATGATTTTAGAGAATCTGTTGGAACATAAACAAATGTCCAAAATCCTCAAAATCTCTATTTTTCTGTTTTAAAGAATCTATTGGATATGCTCTAATAGTATACTAGAAGAGTACTCGTGTAATACAGTGAGATAAATCTCCATTTTAATGTTGTAGTTTTTATTTAGTCTTTATCGATATAATACAATTTTATTTGGTTTTGAGAAAACAATAATGTTTTTATTTTTAAATAAAATATAAATTTGAAGATAACATAAAAAAATTAAAAATTAAAAATGGTATTAGTATAAAATTAACTAGTTCTCGTTTTTTGTATGTAACTTCTTTAATTCAATTTTTTATTATAAGTTAATTTAGATTTAATAACAAAGTAATTTATTTTTGGTTTAATAATATAATTTGGGAAAAGTACAATAAAAATCAATGGACTTTTTTGTTTGGAATGATTAAGTCATTGGACTTTTTTTTGGAACAAATAAGTCATTGGACATTCCAAAACATGTTAAATAAGTCCTTGGACAATTTTTTGGAACAAATAAATCATTGGACATTTCAAAATATGTTAAATAAGTCCTTGGACAATTTTTGAAACAAATAAATCCTTGGACATTCCAAAAAATGTTAAATAACTTCTTGGACAATTTTTGGAACAAATAAGTCCTTGAACAATCCAAAACATGTTAAATAACTTCTTGAACTTTTATAAAACATGTTGGATA